ACGCACTCATTTGGGGTTGGGCTCAGTTACATAATTTCATATTTATCTAGCCTCAGGCCGGGCCCTATAAGCACCTCTCTGGCCGTCAGCATCACGGAGCGGATTCACTTACTCTGGCTGCAGAAGAGTGCGGTACAGCCCCGAGTCCCACGGCCCTCTTGGTATGGGTTTCTGTCTGCCGTGCGACAGTTAGCGCGGCGGCATAGCCTAACTTAGCAAGTGGTAAATGTTTGCCATTCAACTGTCCCCCCCCCGAGTCCCACGGCCCTCTTGATATGGGTTTCTGTCTGCCGTGCGATAGTTAGCTCGGCGGCACAGCCGAACTTAGCAACCGGTAAATGTTTGCCATTCGACTGCCCACACTCACCGACCTAAGGAACACTTCTGCGAGTCAGCATTTCTTCATACCTCAATAACTGTAAGAACTGCTGCACCTGTCGCAACTGCTGGTTCAGCGTTTCCAAGCGACACTTGCCATAGTTCGGAAAGCTGTGTTTGTTTACCAACTTTATGTTTGCGACAGTTTGAAGGGACGCCTTGGAGCCCCGGAGTTTAAAATCTCCCTTCGTCGGGCCATAACATCATAACAGCCAGGAATCTTTTTGCACCTGTAAAGCAACTTTATAATTAACACGTATGAAAATATTCACATATTCCCATGAAGACCAAAACTAATCCTCAGTGTGCAGCTCACTTCTGCTAGTATACACAGTGAACAGCTCTGTATCTACTACAAAAAGTAGATCTGATATCCAAGTCGCTTTTGTTGAAGTGTGCTTTTTGTATCCGCATAGTTCATAGAGAAAAAACAAGTTTATCAGTAAGAAGCAGAGTGACAGTAGCCAAGTAAGAAAGAAAACGAAAAGGGGATTAGCAAGCAACATAACCCAGGGCGCCACAATGTTCTCCAAACTTCACTACAACTTCATAACAAAAGAAAACTTGCTCTCCACATATGTCTTGCTCTCACAAACCTCTTGCAGACAAAAGACGTCAAGATGGAACATTTTATCGCTTATCCTATTGATGACAAGTTCTCAGTAAAACCTCTGAGTTACTGGAAAAAGGACCAGGAGCCGACACCACAAGAACTTTAATGTTCATGGGTTTGAAGACGACACAACTACCAGGGTCATAAGTGAAAGTGAATATATTGAAGCAGTTTTGTGTAAATGCTTGTAATACAAAATGCATATTCCCACAATATCAAGATATTGAGCGATAAAAGTCACAGGGGCAATGTGTTGAAGGGAGTCCGATCGGAAAGGGAGCTAGATATACCGATCAGGTTAATTACATTCCTGCTAAATACGAATGTATTTTAACCATTAAATGTAAAATTTTAGAATAGTTTAACGGTATTCTTTTGGCGATAATCAGAAATAATGACTGGATAAGAGTGTATAATACGTAATAAAAAATCTACTTTTCAGTTTATGATATATATGGCAAACATATCGTGGCCAACACGATATAAGTTTCATCCTCTCAGATTCATTTGTATACAAAGAGTTAATAATTATAAATATTTTAAGGTGTTAATAACATCAAAATACAATTATAAATGTTAAAACTGAACGCCGGTCACGGTAGCCGAGCGGTCTAAGGCATGCACTGTCTTCGCTCGCTTGGAAACCGGGATCGTGGGTTCGAATCCCACTCAGGGGATGGATGTTTAGTTTGTGTGTGTGCGTTTTTCTGTTTGTGTACAGGTAGAGGCTTTGCGACGAGCTGATCACAAGACCAAGGAGTCCTACCGAATATGTAAAGATCTATAAAAACCGAAACGGAGAAGTTTATGGAGGTAGGCCTAGGCCCACTGGGGCTGTAGTGCCAAAGGCGGGGGGGGGGACTAAAGAACTTCAAGTTTTCAAGTAAAATGAAACAGTAATGGGGAGTGGGGTGAGAATTCATCATTATCAGTAATCTGTCAGACGACAGGTCCACAGTCTCTTCCAAAACATTCCTCCACTTAATTCGATCTAGAGCTTTCTCCTTCAAATGACAGTATCCTCTTCTGTCCCCAAGGTCATCCAGCATCTTCTTACGTCTTCTTCCTCGTCTTCTTGTCACTTCTATCCGCCCCTCTATCTTTCCTTCAATAACTTCTTTTAGAAGGCAGTTTCTGCGTAAAACATGACCAATCCAATTAGCCTTCCGTTTTCTTATTTCGTGTAGGATATTCCTCTGCTCACTGACTCTAATTAACACTTCTTCATTTCTCACATAATCGGTCCAACTGATCTTCTCCATCCTTCTCCAACACCACATTTCGAAACTTTCCAGATGTTTCTGATCTACTGCCCTAAGTGTCCATGTTTCAGCCCCATACAGAGCTATGCTCCAAATGTAGCATTTCACTAGTTTCTTCCTCAAATTTAAGTGAGAATTATGTGGAATAAAATAAAGGCAATGAAAAATTAAGATTTCAGATCATTTATGTACACACGACCTTGAGCCAGTTTAATTCAATTCTCACGCTCAGATCTCACTTCCCTGAATGGTTATACATCCTCATCACCCTCCCACATTTTCCTTGGCGTTTAGAAATTTATAAATAATTGACTCAGACTTGCCGCCTTGGTAGATCGTCCCGGTGACGTACTCGCGACAGGCTGACTCCATTAATTTACCGCGGCACAATGCTCACTCTACAGCTTAGGATGACAGTAGGATTGCAATGAAGAACTGCAATGGACGTGCAGGAGAGACTGGATATCATTCAAATAATTTTCCTGGGGGGATTGAGGTGAACTACGGAAAATCTTCCGGTCTCCTTAGACAAGATTAGAAGCCTCCTGATTATGGAGTAAATACTGTCACGTGTAGGGGATGTACGCCTGACTTAAAAGACGGGTTCTAGATTGGATGATTGGATTTAATGACACCTTATTCATAGTACTCGGAACTATAGACAATACAGCGCTATCGCTGTTCTACACACTTCACAACTCACCGTCACACACGCAGTAGGGTTCTCAGTCTTCATTTGTCTTATCCAGGCAACGGATTTATAACAGTCTCACTGTCACTTCAAATGACACACAGAATCTTCTTTCCGCAGCCTAATTCCTTTCTAGCTATTATTCTGCAACTGCCTATCCGAAGACTCGACTCAGTTCAATTCCTCTGCTCCCAAGCTCATATCCTGGCAGGCTGGGGTCTCAAAACTCGACTCCTCACTTCACGTTAGGCTGCTTAACATTTCTTTATAATAACATTGCATGGACACACAGAAAACACAGCATCTATTGTGAAGGAGGCGTGTTTACTGATCCGTTACCTAGCAATTCATGTCCTATTGTTGCACGCGTTTGTTTCCGCGTGAATGCGTTTACCGAGTCGTTGCATAATAACGACTCTATACATCACAATATGATAGTATCCAAACCCGAAGTTTCGTATGTCATTTGACTGCATTTAATTCTTAATATATTTAATTCTGCATATTTTATTTATGGACGAATCTGAAATGGAGCGAATTAAATCCCTCACTTCTAGTAGAACATATGGCGCGGGAAGAGGACACGATCAACATCGCGAAGTTTCGAAACTCGGACGTCCTATGTGACGTACGGAACGGCGGTTCGTTTTGGGATTTCGTGTTCACAACTTGCAGAAACCACTACTGTCCTTAGGGCATGTCCAAAACCCTACGCCTCGCTATAACGCAGAATCAAGAAGTGAGCTTAACAGTTTTAATGTAATTTATTTCCATGTCACATCCTTAATTAACGGCCTACAGCGTTAACTTATTAGGCTCGTAATTTAGGTTTCATGTTCGGGCATGCGTAGATATCATCCTCGTGCAGACGGACCGCAAGCAAGTATGACGTCTCCCTGCCCCTCTCTTTTTGTTTCCGACTTCTATTTTCTTTTTTTCCCCTTCCTTTTTGTGTTAAAAGTATGAAATATTGTTTTTGCAGATAAGAAAATGGCATACCAAAATGAATATGCGATTGCAAATTAGCGTTATGGGTACGAGAGGTCATGAAGGGAGATATGGAAGATTTTACCTAAATTTCATAATGATTGTCAGGTACAATTAAACAAATTTGCTTCTCGAAAATCGACAGAGACCTAATTTACAGATTAAAATTCTGATGACTTACACAGGATATGACGAGACATTTTGCGCACTCTAAATATTACAATAACTTTATTAATAGTTCTCACATCTTTTACCAATATCATACCTACACCCCATGACTTTAAAGTGCATTATTATAAAGGCCTTTGTGTATGTGTAATATCTGTTGTTAATGTAGGTCCTTCACCCTACCCAAGTGTTTCGGGGCGCAGTGTAAAATAATAAATAACCAACATTTCGGTCATGATGGCTGTGAAGAAAAGGCACGAGGGAGCGTAGTTGGTTGAGGCACTACGCTACAAGTCGGAAGGTCGTGGATTCGATTCCTGATGAGGTCACTAAATTTTTCAATTTACCTAATCCTTCCAGTCGCACTATAGCCCTGGCGTCGACTTAGCCTCTAACAGAAATTAGAACCAGGAATGTTCTTGGGGGTAAAGGGTGACGGGTGCGTAAAGTTGACCTCACAGCCATCTGTGAGAACATTGTCTAGAAAATGTGGGAGGCTCAACATCCCACAACCCCATGGGCCTCCACAGCCTGTTACAGGGATATCTTTACTTTTTTTACCGCCTTGAGGGACTAGACGAAATATTAATTTTCGCGAGAGTTGTACCCTGTTCACTGGAGCTTAATGCAATAAAGTATATCTAGTTTATGCTTCGCGGTCTTACTAATCTTATAATGAAGTTTAATGGAATACTGGGATATGCCTAAAGTGAATATGTTCTTCGGTCTGTTAAATTTTTAAAGGTCACATCTCCTTAGTTAATCTAGTTCTTGTTGGATAAGAAAGGTCTGACTAACACAGAATTTATCAACCTAGTTTTTCACTCAGTATAGATTTAAACGCCCATAATTCATTCCGTGCTTTCAATTATGTGGATTTATCACTGTCTTCTACTTTCAGTACAACCGCACGAGTTAAATCATTTGAAAAGACGTGCTTCATCTACACTGACGTCTGCCTCTGATGCAGGGAAGCAGTTCTGTGTATTGAGTTTCCTCTGGCATAGTGGCATATACATATTCCAAAACATGGGGATGTTCTGGATGTACTGCCTACAGCACCTGTTATCATTTTACAGTAATTTAATAGTTTTTTCATATAGTTCTTATTCGTACAAATGTTGAATAACTCATTACCAATAACTAATCAATAGTTATCAAACTCGACATAATAATTTGTACATATAAAATGTACCATAATTATTAAGGGAAGTTGGTTGAGGCACTATGTTACTATCCGGAAGGTCGAGGGGTTCAAGTCCCGATGAGGTCACTATATCTTTTTTCAATTGATCTAATCCTTCCAGCCGCATTACGGCGCTGTGGTCGACTCAGCCTCTAACAGAAATGAGTACTAGGAATCTTCCTGGATTAAAGGGCGGCCGGCTGGCGCGTAAGGCTGACAGGCTTATCGCCAACTGTGAGCCGATTGTCTAAGAATTGTGCGACCCTCGTTTCACAACCCTACTAGTCACGCAAACATCGGATAAATAATAACATTGTAATGAAATTTATCAACGCGTTTCCAGGCAACAGCTCTGTAAACAGGGCCCAACACGCAACAGCAGAGAACGCTGTGTTGTCTGTAGATCCGACAGACTCGCCAATAGACTGCTGGATAACGATCACGTGATATGTTTACTGCAAATCCATGTCCGTTCCGCGGCTATAAGAATAACGAGAGCCGTGAGCTGTAAGTCAGAGCGAATCGGAACTAGGAGTACAGAAGAGTACAGGAAATCGGCCTGTGAACTCTTAACGTGTGATTAACTTCATGTGTGCTTCAAGTAGTGCACTGATGTTGGGAGGTGCGATTTAGTGAGACTTCTAAGGTTCATGTGTTATGAATCCGTTGCCAAGAAACGGATAGTGAAGACTAGTGGATACAGAATGAGAAGGTTAGCGTGGAGTGGTTGTAAATTGTGTAAATCAGCAACAGTGTGTTAAATATTTGTAGTTATGACCTGTTGATGGTTAATAAATCCAATTACCAATCCGAACCCCGTCTTTAGTCACTGTGAGACACGTGACAATAATGATGGAGAGATGTCGGTATTAATAATAATTTCTAGGAGAAAAAAGTTTTACCCAGTTTGTTGGGAATTTAAGCTCATTCCAAAACAATTCTTCAGAAAATATATAGATATGAAAATATGAGGTTGAAGGAAATTCGTTAAGGAGTCCAAAATATAAGATGCTGCCTTTTCACGGTCCCCGAAAGAGGTTGCCAGCTTCTGCACCAAACTGTGATGAAGACAAAGTTATGAACAATAACAGATTAAACAGCAGGAGTAATCGGCCGATAATGATTTATATATGTTTGCCTCAAGAACTCCGTGGAATTGGAACCTACAGCAATTAATATCTCATAACCGCTCGATAACGAGGTGGGAAGAGCATGCAGCACGAATGGGAGCGAAGAGGAATATATATAGGATATTGGTGGGAACACCAGAAGGAAAGAAACCACTGGGAAGACCAAGGCGTAGGTAGTTGGACAATATTAATATGGATCTTAGGGAGATTGATCTGGCTCAGGATATGGACCAGTGAAGGACTCTTGTGAACACGGTAATGAACCTTCGGGTTCCATAAAATGTTGGGAAATTCCTGAGTAGGTGCAGAATTGGTGGCTCCTCAAGAAGGGCTCAGCTCCATTAGTAAGTAAGTAAGTAACCGCTGAAGCAACGGGATCTAATCGGTTTAGAATATTTTGTATCTGAGGATCCCTTGTACTTCTCTCAGTTATGTGGCGAAGTTTCAAGTTAAAATAGTTTAGCGCAGGTAACATGTGGAACTGCTGATTAGAAGGAACCCTGACTAGCAACTGTTATGGCAGTTCCTCTAACTGCAGACGTCATAACGCCTAACATTCACAGTTCATCGAGGAAGCAGAACTGAATATTCCAATTCAATGCTGCTGGCACACCAACACACCAACACAGGTATTCAGCAAGTCCGAACACAAACCGGATATGAATACTCCAGCGCAGAGTTGTTCAGCGTGCAAGGTTAGCAGCATTGAAACCCCCTCATTCTGACGTCAGAGTTGCCATATTTACAAAATTACAGGATGTAAGTCTAATTCCAAATTCAGAATTAAGAGTTAGTCAATGCAAGAGCAAGCAAATTGAGAAGATGGGCTTCATACCGTATTATTTTGAATATAAGGCGCACATTTTTCACATTTCTTCTTTTGAAAAATTGAGATGAGTCTCAAATTCGAGGAATTATTCGCCAATTTGCAAACTGTCCATGGGATAGCCTGGAAATAACCTAATGTAAACACATTCGGGGTCATCATCAAGCCACATTATCCCCCCACCCCAAAATTTTAGCTGTGAGTTAACCCACAACTTTCAGTTCAGTCATTCACTGAAATTCTTGTCGTTCAGGTATGTTCAGTTTTCTGTCAGCTTTTACATGGAAATACGTTTTACATATAGAAGAAAAGTTATTCTGTGTGCTGAACAGTGCAGCTGATAGAAAGTGTACAGTAAGTGAGACATATGTACGTCATTGGTGAAGTATAGAAACAAAACTGTTTCTATGTTTGAAAATAAAATTTATTTTTCAGGACGAAGGAAATGGAGAAACCCCGAGAATGATGCCTCTGTCTTAGAGTATTTCAAAGATATAAGAAATAAAGGATTATCTGTTACTAGAAAAGGGTTAATGTCAAAATTAAAAAAAAAAAGATGTTAGAAGCAGTAACACGCCTTTCAATGCTAGTCATGGATGGTGTGAAAATTTTATGAAGAGAGAAAGCTTATCATTATGGCGAATCATGATAATTAGTCAGAAAATTCCTTCGGAATTTGAAGCTAATCCATTCGGCGCATAACGCGGCTGCTTATTATGCCAAAAGAATATAAATTGTAAGTAAAAAAAAAACAGGAAAACAGCTGCATGTGAGAAGGATGGAGGAAATTGTAAGGGGCTGGAATGAATAGTTTTGAACCAATTTGTTGCTGTTGTTCTGGAGCCGGAAAACGTCTGATGACCTGAGCAGTGTTGTTAATGATAACTATAGATTTCCTGATTTATGTAGTACATTTATAATTAAGACAATAATATATACGAGGCTATAATTGGCTAGGAAAGTGGTTATGATGTAGAGAGCGAGAAATGTGTAAAGAATTTTGGTGGTGAAATCTCTTAAAAGCTTCCATTTTTAAGACCGTGATCATTCTGTTTTATGGAAGGCTTGGATTTAGCGGAGTTTTCAACCGAAGTGTTTGTTTGTGTGTTACTAATGTCCAAATAATCATACAAGCCTTTTAACCATCGAGTGTCACTGTTCTAATGTACACAGCTTTAGCCGAAATAGATCATAGTTTCTTTCAAATGTAATGTCTACCCTCACATATTTAAGCTACTGGAACAATTCTGACATTTTCTTCCTGAGCGGGCTGTAACCTGCATATTTCTAACCCTGTAAACTGTCCCAGATATCTCGTAGCTGAATTTCTCTGCAGAACAATGGACCAAGAGGGATCGTTGGGAAGACAGAGAGAAGTTATACGAATATCTGGACTCAATTTTTCGTTACGTACACCCGCTCGCCTATTATTTGGTGCTCAGATTCACGTATACACTGGCAACCATCGATAAGACGACAAACGCAGGGGGTACAGTGGGGCTACAAATTGTATTCCATAGTTTTTCTCCTCGCCAACCATAGTCTGCGAGGTCTAGGGCACGAAATGTCTTCGATTGATCGAAAACTGGGATTGTAGTTTCGAATCCCACTCGAGGCCTGGATGTATGACTGCGTTTTATCTGTCTTTGTGTTATCCTGTGTCTGTAGAGGGCTTGTGACGGGCTGATCCCTAATGCAAGGAGTGCTATTAACTGTCTTTAAGATTCTTTGTTCCAGATCAATTCTGTAATGGGAATAGACCAGGAGGGCTAATCTATCAAAGGGCGAAAAAGGATTTACTGTTCTTCCACTGGTACAGCACAACTTGCTGAATGAAACCGATGGGTTTCAGTCAGTTGTGTGAAACCAATCGTACTTCAAGATCCACACTGAAGAGACAGATTAATTACTTAGCAACACACAATAATGTACCACTTCGCTACACAGTAACGTCAGTTATCGACTACGCAAATAAATCGTGTTAGAAGCCGGCACGACGGATAGCGCCAGAGTGTGAATGCGAGAAATTCTGAAACTAAAGTTTCAATTGCTTATGTTGGAGAGACCTTCTGAAGAGTGATGGAACTTTTGCAAGCAAAAAGACAATCGCACGTTGCATAAAACTATTTTCAAGGAACTGACTGAGTCAGTAGCATAAGGGTCTTAATACCCTTACTTGCATAAACCCTCAAGGTGTAATGGTTGATTTATTGTCCGAGAAATCATGTGTTGGAAAATCGGCCACAGAAATTCCTATCATGAATTAAATGCTCAACCAACTCCGGCGAATGCTAGAGTGCAACTGCAGGCGACTGCTAGACTTCCACTGCTTTCCTTTAACTCTGACTAAGGAAAGCAGTGGAAGTCTAGGAGTCGCCGAGTGCAGTTGCAGTCTAACATTCGCCGGAGTTGTATTCCAGTTTCTCTTATATAACCTCAGTCGGACAGAGGAAAACGCACCTCGCTTCCATGTCACGTAATCGCCGTGTTTACCAATTGCTTTGCAACAATCGCTGAACGGACTCGCCTGTTGCGTGACGTCACAGCCTAGCGAGGAGGGATGTTTACCGAGTGTTGCGTACTGATGGAAGGAGTGGGGGTATGTGATGTCACTCGCGGAAACGCAGAGGTCACGTGACACCTACTTCCCGTTGCGCCATCCGCGTTACAATATTAAACCAAAGAGGCCACGAGTATTTACTTCCTCTTACTGTTCAGTGTCTCTATCTTCTGGGATATAACGCAGTGTAATCCGTTAAAATCAACCTACATTTCGGAGGAACATGTCGCCTCCATCTTCAGGGTCGAGGAATAAACCATACAAGAAAGCAGTGTGAAAAAGCTCTGCTTACCGCCATGTGGTTAAATTTCTTCAGCAATGTTCATAAGGAGATCAAAATTCATATTTGAGGCCTCGGTGGCCCTTCCTATCCCTAACACCACGGATTCGATACCAGGCCAGTTGTATACCGGTCAAATTAGCTCGCGCGGTAAAGCTTCTGACTTTTATTGAGGAGATGGCATATTCGAATCTGGGCTGGAGCACCGAATACTCTGACAGAAGGGTTTCATTGTTTTCTTAGGACGCTCCACACGAATGCCAGCTTATTACCTTAAATTATGAAATGGCCACTTAGACGCACATCCGCTCGAATTCATTATTCAACACCGTAAAAAAATTCGACATTATACAGTTTCAAAGCTGACAGCATCTTCAAATGAACTACAAGAAATATAATTAGACCGGATATCCTTACCAAGGTTCTTCTTGGTATTCCTCAGTCTCTTCGGAGGAATTCTAGCACAACAGGTTAAAACAGGCAATTAATATTTCCATCCACATCAAATCTAATCCATCATTCACTGCCTTACAGACTAATCAGTACAGAATAAAAATTACGTTAAAAAAATCTGACCCGTTTACAGACGGACAGTAAATGTGGACATGGATCGCGCTTGTGAGGATGTCAGATATGATTTCCGACATTCTGAAAGCGCACCTGTCACCAATCACTCCCATTTAAGCCTATTTACTTAAATATTTCTTAATTGTTCATTTAACGGTGCTGTCAGTAACTCATTGGGGTATGCTTTGACTGCGACTTTTCTTGGTTTTCCTCAGTCTCACCAGGAAAATACCATGATGGTGCCTCAAGTTAGGAGACAAACGTTTCCTTTCACATCCTCTCCTAACTTGAGGTACCATCATGGTATTTGCCTGGTGAGACTGAGG